TTCAGTGGTGACTCACAGGCTTGCTCTCCTTGAATTCACCTCTGCTGTGTCTCCATACCAGCTCTCACTTCCTCAACCCCTCTTCAAATAAGCCACAACAGTATAATTTTTATCCTGATGCTATTAAAAGAGCCAACATAGGTAGCCCTGGCCAATCTAGCTGATGTTGTTACCACAGAAGACTATTTTTCTCCAAATCCCTATCTTCAAGGCTAACTTACATGAGGACTAGTAAATGAATCCCAAATGAAAGTCTAAGCCAACGGCTTCATTTCTCCTTTCCAACAGGAGGGGGGCAGCAATGAGTTTCAATAAATCCATAGCTCTGAGGTCAAAATTCATTAGTTTTAGTGATAACTCAAACAGCACTATAACTTAAAGCTCCATTCCTTACCCAGGGCTGCAATAAAAGAGAGAAATTGTCATATTATGAAGGTCTGCAACACCTTTTTCAAATATTTCTCTGCCAAGAATAAAAGACTACTAGAAAAGGTGTAAAAGTGATACGTACATGGGGCTGCAATGTCTGATACAGTGCAGATTGCTGAAACTGATGTTGTTTTCTGGAAGACGGCTTTAAAAAAGCTACAGAAACACTGTGATTGTCTTTGAGTGAGGTGAGTGAACTGAAAGAAATGGTAAGTATTGGTAGACAAGTCTATCTTGGAGATTGTTAGTGCCTACTTAGGCACTATCAAAGATGGCAAATTAAGTTTCTACATTCATTTTCTACAGTAAATGCCATCTCTTATTAGAAAAAAAAAAGCGTCTGATTCTTTATAGAAAACTTTTCATTGGAATAATTCTGTCCAGTATCTTTTTAAAATTTTCTCCCTGTTTATACTACAAGTGACATTCTAATGGAAATAGAATTGGTGTCGTGACAATTACTATGCTTCATCTGTTTGTTCCCCACTTGAAGATGCAGTTATTTCTATACATATCAAATGCATTGTTACCCAGGAACTGGTCCAAAGGTCAGTAATATGCTTTCTATTCATTCTGTGGGCATGAGGTGATAAACACTCTAAGGCTGCAAAGAAAACAAATGTCTCACAAATAGATTTTTTTTAATGTATTTTACCTAGTAGCAATTTTATGAATGATGAAGAAAAATATTTCTTAAATTATAGGTATGATGAATTATTTTTAAATATTTTGTTAAGAAACCCGACCTGTTCTTGCAAATTAATGAAGTTTCAAATAAAGTATTGTGTTTCAAACCCTAGAATGCTTAGGGCTAGTTAAGGGTCTCCTTGTAAAAATAAGACAGAGAGAAAATAAATATTTGTATAAAATTTATAAATTATAAAATTATAATTAATATATATATACATATATATATAAAGCTTATAAAAATAAAAGAGGCAGAGAAAAAAGTGAAAAAGAAAGAGGGGAATAAAAGATATGCAAGTTGGAAAATAAAATTTAAGCTCACCTTACTGAAAACTTGCTTTAAGACAAATTTGAAAGATGATGTGATGACGTGTTGTAACAACTCAAAAATCAAAATGAATTCTGGCAAGTGGGGCACGAGGCAACTAAGAACAGGTTCACTGGATATAATCTACTGCTAGACAAATTCAGTTGGGAAATACATGCAGTTTCCTATTAGGGAGAATGTTCAAAGTAGTCCTTTGCTGAACAGAGACTCATGATTGCTGATCATATTCAAGATGAAATCAATTGTCTTACTAAAATATATTCCTGTTCCAGCTTTTGGTGTAAATTCTTTGACCTATGGTGGGTGAAAGAAGGGCTGGGAAGGATCTGAAGTGATTCTTTCAGTCTCAGAATTCATAAATTGAGGTCCTTCCATTCCTCTTCCTTCATAGATCTATAAGAAAATAATTGCTTGGATTGACATTAGTACAGTCATAATGTTTGCAGCTTTGAATAAAAACAATGATTAAACTCTGATTTGAGGCCTCAGGTCTTCTGCTAGTCACTCTTTTCACTTAAAAGTTTATTTTCCCCCTCATTGCCTCCTTGAGTACTCCTACTCTACTCTATCAGCAATACACAATGGCTAGAGGCTGCAGGCTGAGAAATAGATCATTCTCTACAAAAATCCTGCCCAGTAGTCACTGCTAAGACACACAGTATCAGACTGAGAGTTTTGGTCAGGAAGAACAGATCCTCCAATGAAACTAAGGGAGATATGGGGAATATTCTTTGTAGGCAGATGGAGGAACTGTTGAATATATATTACCTGGGAGAACCTCTTACATTGTAGACATCTCAGGTAATGACAAATTTATGTCTTTGTTGATGGCATATATTTTAAAGCTAGTTTGAATGCTGGCCTAAAGTCTTCAGTCTGAGTGTGACGCAGCCTGTAACACTGAAAAGTTGGGTTAAAGGATCAGATGCACCTTCATGGTCATGATTTCTGTGAAACACTTGTCTTCACTTGATCTGCTATCTCCTTTTCTCCAATATTTTGCTCCTTCTTTATTTAAGCATCTAAAAATTTCAACCTATCTGTGAACCCTAGCGCTGAATAGAACTCTGCTAGGGAGTCTTTAAATCCACAGAAGCTAAATGGAAATAAGCACACATTTCATTCCACATTCTTGTAGGCTATTACTTTCCAGAGACAACTAACCCACACTGTAGCTTAGAAACAGCTACTTTTAACAAACCTGAGCCCAGGACTGTCACCTTTCTTTACAGCGAGTAGCAAAACCATGAGTTAACACAGTTCACAGTCCATAAATTACAGAAATGATCTATGAGACCTCACTGATAATGAGCACAGCATTCCTTGTAACGGGTTCTCAAACTGTAACTGCTTTGCAACCATCTTGTGTCCCTCCAACATAAATCACATTATAATACAATTGCCCGTGCAGCAGTATTGACTCTTTTCTCAATCTTGAAGGGATAAAAAGAAGAAAAAATAATAATTCTATTCTTTTACAGAACTTTTTAAACCAAAGCAGACTTAGTTGCAGCATTCTTGGCAACCCTTGCACTATATGAGCTGAAAATAATCCTGCAGTTATTGATTTCCCTACGAAGAGATAGCACTACAATACCAACACAGTTCTGCTGAGTATTGGAGCCTGCTTGTTCTGTGTATTGTTTATGGATAGCTGCCATTTATTTACTGAATGATTAGCCAAATAAGTGAAGCTGTTCTAGGTCCTCCAGCCTTTCAAACCAAAAGCGGTGGTTCTGTTCTTGTGGATCTTCTCTCTGTATAGTCTTGGACTGCAACAATACAAACCCTTTCTATGTGATATTATGTAGTGAGAATTATTTTTTTCTTTACACGGGAATCAGAGTATATCCATACCATGCCTGTACATACTCATTAAGTCAAAGAAGTCCTCAAAAAGGCAAATGCTGCATCTGTTGTCAACTGCATGATTCCCTTAACTTGTCTCTTTTCATTACTTTGCTGAGGATGAAAAATAACTCCGAATGGCAAGATGGATGAGGTGATACAGTGCTTGTGGATGCTTATGTTCCAGAAATTGAAGCTGACATTTTATTCTCCACTATGCTAACCATAAAACATTATTGTTTATCCTAACTGCAGTCCAATGTCAGGCAGCAACACCTTTGGCTGCTGGGTAACAACCTTGAACATTTATGCAGAGGTAGGGAAAAAAAAAGTGATGGTGTTTGGGAACTAATTTGACAGCCTAAAATCAAGCAGCATTCTGGGAAAGGAGCAGATAGTCAAAGTGACACCTTTGATGTGGTCAGCTCGTGCACATCAGTGTCTCAGTCTAAAGTCAGTCATTTCAGTTCTATCTGAATCTGTTCTGATAAATAAATAATAAATCAATAGTCAATGTATGAGTCAATAATTAACTAGTACCCAAACACCTCATTAGTTCCTCCTCTCTTGCATTATGAGAAACAGTGAGATATTTTTTCCCCTTTTCCATAAACGCCGTAATTTTGTAGACTCAAATACCCTTCTTTATTTTTTATTTTTTTTCCCCCACGCTGATAAGCCTTGTGCAATTTATCTTCTGCATATAGAGAATCTATCCCAAACACTGACAATTCTCTGCTTGGTGATAACATTAAGTTTGGGAAATCTAGATTTGAGTCTTTTATAAGAGAAAGCCAGTAGTGGAATGCCATAACTTTTGTTTCTTAAATGAATATATCAATAATTTGTTTCTGAATTAAATGATATATATGTGCATGTTCCTTACAAATTCATTCCAAGCCAAACCAGGTCTCACCCACATTTAAGTGTTAGTCATCACTTAGGCATGAGCTGTGGCACGCAGCATTTTAACACCTTCAGATTTGGGTTATGGAGCAGACAGGCAGCAGAGAGCTGGTGTTAGACAGCAGAAGACTGGGCAACTGGAGATTTCAATACAGGCTAAATCTGTCTTTTCTAATGATGTGTGCTGTCCTTGGCTAATGGGTCACTCTTTGCCTAAACAGATAGGATCTCAGCAGTTCTATCTCCATAAAAAAAAAAAAAAAAAAAAAAAAGACAAAAGGAATAAAGATTAAAAAAAAGCATGTCTAAAGGTGGCAAAATGACACTATTCAGCACATACTCTACTTGCAAAATCACATCCAGGCAAATTAAGTGGGACACGACTTGGAATTATCCATATTGTACAACTGCAGGCAGACGAGTAGTGGCTGAAAGAGATTATCATTAACTTATTTGTACTTATTAATTCCTCAAAATTCAAAACTCACTCGGATTTTGTCCATACAAAGGAAAACAAAAGAAAAGTGGTATGCAGTGTTTACATATTCCTGCAGAGAACTTGAAGAGTAACAGATATGGGCACTGAAAAGATGTGCTTCTCTCTGAGCTCCAGCATCACAGCAAACATACAAACACCGACATTGTGAATGTATGTGTGGTCAGCTTAGCTTTAAAACTCCACTTCTGCTGCACCAAAGAGAATCATAGGAAAGCTGATGCTGGAGCTCTGGAGGGCATCTAGTCCAATCTCTGAACACAAAATGAGGAACTCAGCAGATAATCAGTTTGCTCAGGATCTTACCAGGCCACATTTTGAAAATCCTTTAAGAAGGAGATTCCAGTTTCTTGGGCAAGCTGTTCCAGTGTTTCACTCTCTCATACCTCCCAGCACTTCTGTGAAATGATGTTCATACCTACAATTCAGAAATAAATTTATATGAAAAATAGTTAGGCATTTCATTTGTGCCTACAAGTATTTTGATCTCAGCCACAACATGGCCACAACATTATAAATTATACATAAAGCAGTTACAGTAACGCAGTAAGAATAGGAAGCCAGTTATGAAGAAACATTTTTGTCACATACTTTAATTCTGCATCATATCTTAAGGATCAGATTTCTAACAGAAGAGGATGCTTACTCTCTGCCATTCCTTTTTGATCTGTTGCCTAAAGCACTGCATACGCAGTAGTAGAATAATCCTATAGGCTCCACATATATAACTGCTTTCCTGATATGTTTCTGAAATACACTAATAGAGTCTGTTTAGAGAAGCTGGAATTTGCTATAAAGGCTTTTGAGTCTCTGCTTGACAATTAATATTCTGAAGACTATCACCATTATGAATAGAATAAAATGCATGCTTATTCCTAGATGCAAGGGTTTGTGCCTAAACTGTCCTTTTTGCATGGCAGCTCCTAATTGCAGAAAGCAGGACACCAAATTGACTGGCATTATTTAGACACTGTGCCGTTCTCTGAGATGAAGATACTAGAATTGGTCCTTATGTCTTTGTTTAGTTTTACTCTATTTCCAAAATTGACTATAAAACTCCTTCTAGCATTTTAGTTTTCATTAACTGGTTTTTGAACATTTGCACGTTGTCTGTTCCAGTATAACAGCAAATTGTTATAATGGCAGGGTTACAAATACTGGGGAATAAAAATAACCCTTGCTATCAGGACCAAATATTTGTGTATTATTTATAACATAACAAGGCTAAACAGCCTTATTACAGGTTTGCAAATACATCACGTACCCCATATTCAGAAAAATCACTTGCTCCAAAGACCTTATTTATTAAGTCTAGAACATTAAATCAAGAACTAAAATTTAAGACCAAATTTAGCAGAGTTTGCTTTTTAAAAGCTCAATTCAATACCCATTACCATTCCAAAACAGTATTTTTTTTCCTCTTCATATTTATTGACATGTTTTTTTTTTTTTTTACCCTATCTTACCATTGCAGACCTGTAATTATTGTCTCATAATTACCATATATTTCTTGAGCCCTAATCTTGAACTACAATCCCATTACGTCAGACTTTCTAGTAATATTCAACAGATGGTCACACAGGTACTCATTGCTGACTAATTTTGGTCCACAGAGTTGACATAGCACCAATTTAATTCTGATGACAAGACTTCACAGGACTGAACGAGAAGTCCATCCCATACTGCCAAATCCATTATTTTCAAAGCTCTTTATAATGCCCTTAGATGCTGTAATGAAGATGTGGATCTGGACTGGGGAGTCTGAGTTTCTCATAAGTCCAGAGACTTTTTCCTGATGTTAACCAATAGCAAGTTACAACAACCCTTTATCCTCCATATCTATTTTCACATGGTGGCTCAGCCCCACAGTTGTCCTTACTCACGTCTGTTTTGAGATACGAGGACAGATAATTACATACTGCTCAAATCACCTTTCTCCTCTGAATCTTAGTATGAAGGATGATCCAGCTTGGAGACCAGATCAAAGTTGGGAGCTCACTTGTTATGTACTTATTCATATTTATTATGAAAATAAATGTGCTCACAGGCATTTCCCAAATTTCAATGAATGCCCATCATGATTTCCCAAAGTGGCCTTCACTTCATGACACAAACTCTTTTGGCTGGAGGGCTCCCTCTTTCTGTCAGTATCTCTCACTTTCAGCCTTGCTTGGAGCACTGACACCGATACACTCATACTATCACATATTAAACAAATTTATGATTGAATGGAATTAGTGTTTAGGAGCAAAGAAAGTAAAAGCAATAAAACAAAATTTAAAAACAATACAATGCAATACTCTGGATTGAGTATCTTTGGCATGTAGGTATTATCTGTACAGTTAACCTTTTACAATGTAACAGAATTGAGAACAGATGAAGTCTGTGGGTTTTCCAAGCATGCTTTTGGAAATTCGCATTGTTGCTTCAGAGACATAACTTTGGTCATCTCCTTGGAAGTTCGTACAATATCCCATGATCATTAGAGGCTGTGATTTACTTTAGTGGTGGAGAAAAGCTAATGATTTCACATTGCACTATGGTACAGGGAACCTTCAGGAACTGGTGTAATAACCAAGATAAGGGGTTTGTTATTTCTGTTACTTACATTTCTATTAATACTTACATCAGTGCTTAAATGGGTATTTATTTGATACTGAATATCTTTCACTGAAACGAACAGGAAAAAGAGGTGCTTTAGTTGAAAGGAGGACGGACTAATTTGAAAATGTTGGGCCTTTAGTCATTATTGTGGAGGGATATGAACTGCATTCATTAAAACGGGGTGCTGATATTACATTTTAATACATAAATCTGGAAGTGGGTTGGCCCTGAGAGCTGCAGCAGGTCTGAGGAGGGTTTTTACATATAAAGAAAAGAACTGACAATAAAAGGAGTGACAATATTACTTAATACAGCATACAGCATGAGATCTTTCTTTAGAAAACTAAAGACAAAAGCTTTCTTCTTTACAGCATATATGCCCCTAGATTTAGAAATACCTGCATTTCAAACATTATCAAAGAAAGCAAGCATCGGTAATCAGATAATGTAGTTTGATTATAGTGAAAATATGGCAAGAGAGAAAAGTACAGAAACAATTGCTAAGAATATGAAAGACAAAAAAGGGTAACTTTCAGAAATAATCCTTATTGTATATGAAAACTGAATAATCTGAGCCTATCTTGTATGAAATGAAGGCTAAAATTGAAAGCTTATTGCAGATCCACTTACAAGGTATTCTCTTCTTGATTTAGCATTGTGTGGTGCTATTAGGAGAGTTGCAAAGGAAAACCTCTTTCAAAAGTTCATCCTGAAGGTGAGCATGAAGTTTCAAGTGGACAAACTCACATTTTCATCTAGACTGAAGAGATAACTGAGTGTTACATCAGAAGCCATTGGAGACCTAACTGAGATGAAAAAGGGGACAAGCCTCTGTGCTGGTACACATCACGGGGTGTAGAGCTGGTGTTGTAGGTAGAGCTGTAGTTGGATGCAGAGCAGCTTTTCCTGCACAGAATGAAGCTTTAAAACCTTTCTAATGTATGGGGAGGGGAACCACAGGAGTGCACAAAATTAAGAAGAAAGAAAAAGGGAAGAGCTGAAAGTACAGCAAAGGAGGCCGTAATTCAAAGGGATGTGGTATCCAGATGAGCAATTTTGCTGTCATTGGCAGAAAAGGGAGGAAAGCACCGAAGAGAAGGAGGGAGATTCCAATTAGCATCTTGGTTTTGACAAAACAGTCTAGCATCTTAAAGAATATGTTCCTCTCTAAGTAATTTTATTTTAATTTTTTTTTCACAGCTTCAGAACTGAAAAGAAAGTGTGGAGGAAAATAAAATACCACTTTGGTAAAGACAGGAATAGGAAACAACAGATGAAACAAAACAGCTATTCCATATGCTACATTCAGGTTTAAATCTTTTAGAAATAATCAATAGTTATTTTAACAGCCTCCATAACTGCTAATCACATACCTTAAAGAATTCCAGTAACGATGCTGATAGTAATTGCAGTAGCACTGCAGACGGACATAATGGAGGGGGTGTCTTTACTGATTCTATTGTAATGCAAAGTAACACCTGCCATTGCTGTTCAGCAAAATCAATCCCATCGGAGACTCTTTGTTCCTCTTAGCAGAACATTATATAGTCATAATCATTTTACAAACACTAAATATTAAAGCATATTATTAAAAAAATACCAGCATTGGCAAAACTATTCCAGATGAAGTCCAGAAAGGACAAAATAGTAGCATCCAACTGCCAGCATATTACAAGATCAAGTCATTCCATCTTGGATCATTTTAATGTTTTGATTATTTAACTACATGGTATTTGTTGATGACAAGAATTATTGTGTTCCTCCAAATTTGGCAGTAATATTACTGTGACTTTTTAAATGATCCTAAACAGTTATTTTGCTAGTAGATGCTTTGGAATACATGCAAACCCGAGTTGCATGGTAGTAGGATGGCCCAATTGTTGCTCTTCGGAACATGCAAGAAAAACTACACAACCATTACTTTTTCACCTTTTCGTAGCCCTGCTGACAATGTAGCCAGTATAAATATTTCTGCTCAGTTGTTATTCAGTTTTCACTTCCCCTCTAAAACAGTCTGGAAGTGTATTATCAGTTGAAGGCAAAAGAAGAATGAGAATTTCTTGTTGTTAAGGTTATAAGAATCAAGGTGCCCCAAGGGTCACGACCAAGTTTCATGGTCAAATTGGAATCTATGGAGAATAACATGAAAGCTGGAGAAAAAGAGTTCTCAAGAGAGGAGCCACTCAAGCAAAATTCACTCAGCTAGATACAAGAAATCACCCAATTAATTTAATCTTCTCAAGTTTTTTTAATTTTGTTTGCAACCTCTTGGTTGTTGTATTTTTGTTGGTGGTGTTGGGTTGTGTTTGTTGTTTTTTTTGGTACAAATATTAAATCTGGCAATATCTGCAAGGATCTGCTCCTCTGGCACACTGCTGACCACTGGGTGTTTACCTGTGTCAGGAAGAGGTGATGCAAACATCTTGACAAAAGCACCAAGACTGAAGACCTACGCAGGCTCCGGCACTTCTGTTCAGGAGCTGCGATACACCCCAGGTATAGCAGACCAGCTTCCTGTTCTGCACATACTTTTGTTGTCCCACAAGATGTCTATTATTCAATGCTCCTGCAAACTGCACTTCACAGTTCTACATACGGTCTCAGAGGGAAGTGATATTGACTGTTCACTGCTGTAAACAGACATACGGCAAAGAAAGGAACTTGCAAAGACAATAAAGAGCCAAGTTGTGAGTTCCTTCTTCTGGGAAAAAGACTACATGGAAATCTGCATCTATAAAAAGTGTTCTAGTTTCATGATATATTACTTTCCACAGAAGTAAATACATAAAGGTGCTGAGCAATACTTGCATTAAA